CCCCCCCCCCCCCCCCCCCCCCCCAATTATTTGTGGTCGCTTAGAAGCAGCCACAAAATTATCAGCAAGAGGCCCAAATAAACTAGCAAGTCTTCATCTCTGCGCAGTACACCAAGCCTTGAAAAGTTTTGCGGCCTTTCCCTCAGGAAAACAAGGTTGGATCCCCCACCCCCAGGGAGGTTAAGCTGCGTATGACGGACTGGGCCCTCATCGCCCCCAGACCCCCCCTCCCGCCACTCCTGGGTACCCTGACTGGAACAGGGCCGCCTCCTCCTCCTCCTTCTCCCCTGCCCGGCAAGGCCAGGCGACGCGGCCAGCCCCCTCTACACAAACCCCCCGGACCGGGGGACGGGTAGCCATCCGCAACAGGCGGCGGCAGCAGCACCCGGGGGCCTGCCCGGCCCCTCACCGCCCCGTTACCTGGCGTCCAGCCCGCGGCCCAGCAGCATCATGGCGGCGGCTCGGCGGGAAGGAGGGCGGCGCTCCGCGTGCGCTCGGTTTCCATGGACACCACCCGCCGCCCGCCCCGGCCCGCCGCCTGAGGGGTGGCCTCCCGCCTCTCCTCTCCCGGGGAGGCCTCCAACAACTGCTCTTAGAGGCCCTCGGGGCACCGGGCACCCCCGTCGGAACACCCCCGTCCCTCTCGGTGGCCCGAGGGGATCAGGCCGTGAGCCCGCCCGGGGCTGAGGCTGGCCCCGGAGAGAAGTGCAACTCCAAGGCCCAGCCCGGCGCAGGAGCAGAAAGCGGGAAGGCTCGAGCCAAAAAAAAAAAAAAACAAACCAAAAAACTCTTTTTTTTTTTGGTAAATACTCTTTTTGTGTGTGTGTGTGCACATCCAGACTTGGCAAGAGAGGCAGCACCAGGGGAAGCGGCCCACCTCTCTGCCGCCTCTGAGGGAGAGCTGCTGGGCTTGGGCGGCCATGAGGAAAGGTCTCATGAAGCCCCTGGAAAGGTCTTTAAAAAAAGGAGAAAAAAGCCGACCTACTTAAACCCACTTCCCCAGAATCCCCTCTCGGTAAAGATAACATATTGGGAATGTGACTTAGGGACTGTGTGGGCATCATCCTGTCCCGGCGCTGAAGAAAGGCTGCTGGCAAAGCCCCAGCAAGTGCTGTGCAAGGCAAATGCAGAAAAGGCTCTTCAAGGAGGGAAGGTAGAAGTTGTGCTGTGTCACACAGTTTGCTGTGTGTTTGTACTGGACACCAGTACAAACCCACTGCAAATTACAGCAAAGTACGAGAGCTAGGTTCTTAGACAAGTGCTAGCGTGCCTGAGAAAGTTTTACAGGCTTGCCTGAGCGTGTCAATAGAAACTGATTTAATTAAGATTTGTTTTTTAACTTTCTTTTTTTTTCTGTTAAAAGTAGATTATTTAGATCACTTAAACTGAGGCTTTAATTAACCTAAAGCAACCTATTCTTCAAATGCCGAGGATCTATTTAGTGATTTGCACCAACTAAGCTAAAAGGAAATAATGCCATTTTTCCATATGGAAAGTTTGGGAAATCAGTGCTGAAACTCACCCCAAAGGTTTGCAACCCTTAAGCACTTGGCAGACTAATACATCTAATCCCAAAATGTCCTTCAGAGGATGCAGGGGTGAGAGGTCAGCTGGTACCTGAAGGTCTTCTTTTGACTGCAGGCTTGAGATGAGAGGCTATAATGTTTATTGCTAAATCAACCTATTTTTAATAATCTAATAAATCAGTATAATGACCTAGCTAATAATGACATCACTGTTATTAATGTGCAGTTTTGTAATTCCTCACACTGTAGCAAGATCTGAGGTTATCACTCTTGCTCATTACACACAACTACCACTGAATTACAGCTCTATCACCCATCTGTCTACCATGTCATGCTGTTTGTTACCGGGGTGCAATAGGATCTGTCTCTAGACAGGGTTTTTTGTAGGATTTTTTTTTTCCTTCCAAAAGGTCCCCCAAATTCCCCTTCAATTATCTATTCATACTGTCTGCATATTGTTTACCTTGCACACCTTCTGAGACATCCCATCCCATTTTAGTCTTGATTCCTCTACCTAGCTTCAATTAAGTCTAAGCAGTTCATCCTATATGCAGACAATTGACATATCAGAGCAAGGCTTATCCTGTTAAATATTTGTTTGTTTGGTTTTTTTTCCCACTATTTTTGTGCTCACATAGCATCTTGCTCTTAAGTGCTTAATTACAAACCGTTGACCTTGACAAGTTCTTTGGACAATCTCCTGGTCTCCTGCAGTGTTCTTGTCTCTTCACCAGGCACTGTATGCCAGCAGGACCTCTAGATCACAAATTGTAACCAATTTCTGTAGCATTAGGAGCTCTGAAAGTTGAAAACATCTATTCTGCTCCATGGAGCGTGTTTAGACTTGGTCACCCCAGAAAGCTCAAGCAAAGCAAGTATCAGAATACCCAGAAATTCTTAATAAACAGCAAGATGGTGTTGAATGAGTTATTATATAAACAGCATGAGAAGTACAAAGTTGATTCAAATCATGGGCCGATGAGAAACAGAGACTGACACAATGAGAGGGTAAAAGACTTTGAAAATGAGGAAAAGTTATTTGTGATTAAAATTGAAGAAGTAGTTGTCACTGAAACAAGACACAAAAGAGGAATGACAGCTCATCTTCAGCTATTGAGAACTAAATAAACTTCAGTCCTGAAGTGTAGGAGTTGGCATAGGCAATAAAAAACTTAATTTGTATGTGCTGATTTCGCACATGACTTGACTTAATAGTACTTAATATGAACATACTCTGCAGATAGTCCTGGAATGTATGGCCTACCAGCTCCAGCTGCACATAGAAAGTTGAAAATAATGTCATAAGGGCCTGTTGAAATTTTGAGTCATCAGAGAGTGCACAAGAGCACAAGCTGCATAAATCATGGAGTGGAAAAATATTTTTGTACTATGATTTAGAAATAATTATAGAGAATGATGTTGAAAGTAATGCCAAATTTCCTGCTCATTACTTCTAAGTAAGTTTCCAGAATAACATACTAAAGATGATGACATCTTATAAACGACAAATTCTGAAGATAAGCAAGCTCTGAAATATCCAATTGACAGTGTTTTCCAATATTCCTCCGGAGCGTAAGCAACAGAGTCCTCCTGACTTAAATGAACTTGAGTAAATTCTCTGTACAGTTGTGTTGAGCAACAGTATAAAGCTCCAGCAGTTTTCATCGATGGTGAAGAATTTCCTGTCATTTCTGGGTAGAAAAAACAGGGAATTCATGAGTCTGTGGAAACTTCAAGAACACAAATTGGGGTAGAATTTCTTCTGTAATATTTAGGGAACAGTTTAGCCATTGTTAAAGTAGAGCCATTTTTCTGGTTTGGAATTTCACATTTTGTCAATGAGTTTGTCCTAGTTATATGTGTAAATACCAACAGAATATTTAGTCACTTTTATTTAAGTTAACTGACATTAATTTCTATGGTATAGTAATTAGAGCTAATCCATATGGGTCCAGAGGTTCATAGGTGCACTACAGTTTATGTGATTAAATCTCTTCGTGTAACTGATGAGCTGCCTACATGTTCATGTGACTGCTTCTTTCCTCCTTCAGAATTTTTTGTAACTTCAGATTTTTTTTACAATCTTTAAACTTTTTTTTGGCAATTTTCCGTTTTTAGGTCCACCTATGCTACCAAATCCTATAGTACGTATAGAAAGGCATTCACTGTAGACCTTGGGTGTCAAACAACATTAATTTTAGCATACGAGTTTACTCATAGTGGCTTGGGGAATGTTCTTTGAGATTTAATAATATCAAGTGTTTTCTGCTGCTGCAACAGTTCCCCTCTTCCTGCTATTTCACTTCTTTGGGTCAGCAGTTCCCTCACTTAATGCAGGGGTTAGACCACCTCGTATTCTGATTTCTCTGGTTTCTCAAGAACAAGAGGCAGCTTGTGGGAACCATCCTTCCCTGGTGCACAAGTCTCCAATACCAAGTTCCACATATCTTAATCAAAAATCAGTTCTTTTGTTAGAGAAAAAAAACAAAAGACAACATAATTAGAAAAAGAGTAAAACATGATTTCCTCAGGCTAATACCTGCAGGCCGGAATAACCTTCTGTCGTCCATTTTGTCAAAATTTGTTGGAGCATGATGATTTATGCGTTTGCCTGTTGCGTTCTTAGTTCTTTAAAAGAGCTTTGGCCACTGTCAGAGGTGGGATGGTGGGCTAGCAGGATCTTTGATCTTGCTCAGTACAGGCACTCATGCTTTTATGGTCTCATGGTTTTTTTATGAACTAAGATAAGTTCTTTTTTTGGTTTCTTGCTTACCTTTGGGTGAGTATCTCTGCTCCTGTGCTACTCTTTATGCAAATTGAGTTCCAAGATGAAATGGGAAATATGTCTGGAACATAGAATCATAGAATCATATGGGGTTAGAAGGGACCTCTGGAGATCATCCAGTCCAACACCCGCGCTGGAGCGGGTCTACCTACAGCACGTTGCACAGGAACTTGTCCAGGCAGGTTTTGAATGTCTCCAGAGGAGAAGATTCCACCACCTCTCTCGGCAGCCTGTTCCAGTTGCTGTACAAGTTTTTTTGATGTCTCCTGTTTTCAGCAGCCTGTCAAAAAGTAAGGGTTTGTCTGCCACTTTTTTATACCATGTACGCTTTCAGACTTGTTTCTCTCAGATTCTCATTTACGTAGTAGGACCCTGTCTCCTCGAGTTGTTCCCCAAGTCTAGCTAATCCACATTGTTTCTGGTCTATCGCTAAGACCTACTGCTCAGATGTCACCAGATGAAGATGTTCTGTGTTGACACCGTTTTGTGGTGTTTGATTCTCTAGTTAAAGTAATCACATTTGTTGTGATGCAGACCACGATGGCAGTTACGTGTAGTGCGTACTGATTCACATGCCAGGGAAGGTGTTGGAAAACATCTGTTTCTTGGATCTGTGGTCTGAATGTTCTTATTCATTAGTGTCGACAAATGATAGTCCAGTTATTGTTGGTAGCACTGTAGAAATGCTAGATTAGGCTGTCAGAGTGCTTTACCGAAGCCTGCTCAAGGTTCCTGAGCTGTGTGGGCACATTGTGAACATTGCTGAGGATGAAGGGCCTATGTCAATCTACTTGTGTTGCTGGAAAGCCAGGGCAGAGGGGACTTTTGGAAGGAGCCTGTTATTGTACCTCTCCATGGGAATCTTTATTAAGAAGCAAAAGATTTATTTGAAATTAGGGTATAGATAGTGAGGAAAAGAAGCTTTGGAGAGTGGGTCTCCTACTTGTTCTGCTGCACCATCCCTTGTTCCTTCGGTGGCAGTAGCACTGAAGCAGCCCACTCAGCTTTCTGGGGCTCTGATTGATGAAGGTAGGCAGTGAAGCCAGGCTGTTTTGCCATTCCCCTAAGGCTAGTGCCAGAAGCAATCTAATCTGCCTTTTGCTTTCAGATAACTGTGATAGTACACACATTAATTAAATAGACACTTGTGTTATTAACATAGTACATAATTTTAATTAGTAAATAGTTATTTTCCAGACATATTGTAGTTTTGGAATGA